GGATGCCGAAATGATTGATGTTTAATCAGTGCTTGACATATTAGTGCATTTGGACGGAGTTGGTGCTTTCCTTTACGGTTAACATATAATGACGGCGTTGATGCGGAAATCCGACCTTCGATAATAATGTCCATCACCACCGACCTATGGCTCATGCTTGGTGTTGTTTTTCTCTATTTCTCCACCTTTCTTTCGTGTGCAATGGGTGGCGGGTTATCTCGAGAGCTGAATCTCTATTGCTCTATGCTCGCCATGCCAGTGACCTTTCTGTTTTCTTTTTCTCTTTTTTCTTCCGACTCTAGCCGACCACCCTTCACGATTTCACTGATTTGATATGACCAATAATGGTGTTGAAGGGTTTCACACTCATTTCCTCATGATATTTCCTATGTTGTTACCCTGATTTGAGCGTTCGAGGTACTTGTTGTTTTTCTATTTCTTGTCTTTTCTTTTCTTTTTTTGTGGCCCTGCCCATGTCTGTATGATTGGATTCCCGCAACCTGGAAGTCAGGATTGCTGTGTAATATGTGATTTATATTTCCCTTTGTTTTGATGACTCGACTCCTTTTCTCTTCACGGCTTTGGGCGTTATTAATGATTACCTTTCCCCCTACATCTGTGTTTCCATATCCCTTTCAGCAACTGTTATTTTATTCCCCCCCGGCCCCCTTCTGTGAGTGAGTGATATAGGTGAAGAGACATGAAAACAGCCAATATGTGATCAAGCAGGCTTGAGAATAGGTGATGCTTGTGATTCATACTTTTGAATGCGAACCACTTCTGGACACCAAGTAATAGGTAGCCAGCGAACTATAATTTTCAATTATTTTTTATGAAGCTTGATGCGAACGTGGATGTAGAACAGTGTAGTATTATGTGAGACCTGGGAGTATGTTCCCCAATTGTTTGGCTCGCCACCAGCAGACTTCTTGGCGGTCGACCTGGGCGGCGAGATTCTTCGCAACATCGACGCGCCTGAGGGTCAGCCACACTCTAGAGCTAGTCACGCCGAATCCTTTAATCATTGTGCTATCTACCTTTCAGTTCGCCCATGCTTACAGTTTATGTTGCATTTTTCAAAGCACATTTTGATATGACGCGCGGCTTTCTCCGAGGCTTACAATAAAGAAACACTTGTGTCATCTGCTCAAGTCTCATAACAGCGGTCATATCGCGGATTGATATAGTCTCAACTGTCCAGCTTGGATCTGTACTAATTTAGATATGGACAATCGAACATTCGTGTCGGATTCTCTCCTCCGCCTTACCAATGCCTCGGACCCTACCGTCGTCGACTTTGTGCTCGCCACAGCCAGCTCGGCCAAGACAGCGGATTCATTACAAGAGAAGCTCGTTCCTTTCTTGGATGGCAGCGCAGAAGATGTTAATGCGTTTTGTGGAGAGCTGTATAAACGAGTGGGCGCAGGCGCAAAAAGCGAGCGCAGCAGCAGTGCTCAGAAAGAGCGCAGTGATACCGCGTCGAAAAAGAAGTACCGATTGATTGAAATGGAAGATGACAGTCTAGACTCTTCAAGCTCTTTGGGACTCACAAATATCGAAACAGAAAGGGAGAGGCGGAAACGCAAGGACAACCGAACCAAGGAGGAGCCCCGGGGGCACAATCGCTGGGAAAAGGAAGAAAACAAGAAGCGCGGGCGGAGCCGGGAAGAGAGCCGAGATCGCCACCGGTCCAAGAAGCTACGACGACGGGATAAAGAGGATTTCGATGATCGCTGGGGTGACGAAGAGATTCCGGATGATGAGGTGTATGAAGAAGATGAGCAAAGCGGTAAGAATGAAGAGTCACCGTCGAAGCGGACTAGGTTGGAGGATGGATCTGCGTCACCTCGGTCGACCGACTCTGCAGACCTGGATCCAGAGACGAAGAAAGAAATCGAGCGACGACGGGACATCGAAGAACGAGACGAGTTCGCGAAGCGGTTGGCCAAGAAGGATGACAGCAAAAATAAGAAGATTGTCGAGGACCGGACCAGAAATAGTGAGGTCGCACGAAGACGAGCGTTGGCAGACGATGCTTCCGCTAGAGCTGCCGCGATGCCAGAACTAAGAATGCGCTCTCGGCAAGAGTATCTTAAGAAGCGAGAAACTGAACGACTAGCCCTCCTGCGCAGGCAGGTCGCGGAGGAAGCGGCCGAGCTACGTGATAATCCCAACTTGACACGGAGGGAGAAAGAGGAGTTTGCTAGAAACCGGGAAGTACTTCGGATTGCTGAGGAGCGGCTACGGATCGATGATTACCGCGATGGGTACATGATGCCGGATGACTATATCACAGAGAAGGGAAAGATTGATCGAAAGAAGAAAGAAGATGCTCTTTACAAACGCTATGTGGATCGCGACGAATATGGACAAGAACGATTTATCACGGAACATGAGGAGTGGGAGATGGAGCAAACTGCCAAAGCAAAGGCACAGATTAACAGGGCAGAGTTTGTGGATGAAGGTGACTATGAATATGTTTTTGACGACTCACAAAAGATCAACTTCGTCATGGATGCCAAGATGGAAGGGACTCAGAAGGCTATGTCCCAGGAACAACGTATACTTAAAGAAAAGCTCGACGCAGCAGAGAAGAAGGCGGCATCGATTGAGGATACACGGAAGAGCCTGCCAATCTATCAATTTCGAGAGGAGATCATCCAAGCTGTCCATGATCACCAAGTTTTAATTATTGTCGGTGAGACAGGTTCTGGTAAAACGACCCAGATCCCGCAGTACCTTCATGAAGCCGGTTTCACGAAAAACGGGATGAAGGTTGGTTGTACGCAACCTCGACGAGTCGCTGCTATGAGCGTTGCATCGCGAGTAGCCGAAGAAATGGGTGTGAAGCTGGGCAATGAGGTCGGTTACGCCATTCGTTTCGAAGACAACACAAGTGATAAAACAGTGCTCAAGTATATGACGGATGGTATGCTGTTACGTGAACTGCTGACAGAGCCAGACCTGGGCCAGTACTCAGCGTTGATGATCGACGAGGCGCATGAGAGAACGGTGCCTACGGACATTGCCTGCGGTCTGTTGAAGGATATTGCCAAGGCACGGCCAGATCTGAAACTGTTGATCTCCTCTGCAACAATGGATGCACAGAAGTTCCAGCAATACTTTGACGACGCACCTATCTTTAATATCCCCGGGCGACGTTACCCCGTGGATATTCACTATACATCACAGCCAGAGGCGAATTACCTGGCCGCAGCAATCACAACCGTTTTTCAGATCCATGTCACACAAGGTCCTGGAGATATTCTTGTGTTCTTAACCGGCCAGGAGGAGATTGAGGCGGCCGAACAAAGCTTGCAGGAGACTGCGCGGAAGTTGGGAAGCAAGATACCAGAAATGATAATATGCCCTATCTATGCCAATCTACCATCCGAGTTACAAACTAAAATTTTTGAACCGACGCCACCGAAGGCACGAAAAGTCGTACTCGCTACGAACATTGCCGAAACTAGTTTGACTATTGACGGTATTGTCTATGTGATTGATCCAGGTTTTGTTAAAGAGAATGTCTTCAATCCCCGAACTGGAATGGAAAGTTTGGTAGTAACACCGTGCTCGCGGGCGTCTGCCAACCAGAGGGCCGGGCGAGCCGGGCGAGTTGGACCTGGGAAATGTTTCCGTCTCTACACGAAGTGGGCCTACCATAACGAGTTGGAGGAGAGCACGACGCCTGAAATCCAACGTACAAATCTCAGCAGCGTCATTCTGATGCTCAAGTCACTAGGGATTGATCAGTTACTCGATTTCGATTTCATGGACCCCCCGCCAGCCGAGACAATTATTAGAGCCTTGGAGCAGCTTTATGCTTTGGGTTCATTGAATGATAGGGGCGAACTAACGAAGGTTGGAAGACAAATGGCGGAGTTTCCGACAGACCCCATGCTGGCCAAAGCTATCTTGGCGGCGGACAAATATGGCTGTGTGGAGGAGGTGCTTTCCATTGTGTCAATGCTAGGGGAGGCCAGCGCTTTATTCTTCCGGCCCAAGGATAAGAAGATACACGCGGATAGTGCACGTAATCGGTTCACGATCAAGGATGGCGGGGATCATCTGACTTTGCTCAACATCTGGAATCAATGGGTGGATTCCGACTTCAGCTATGTATGGGCAAAGGAAAACTTCCTACAGCAGCGCAGCTTGACTCGGGCACGCGATGTACGCGATCAACTGGCGAAATTGTGTGACCGAGTCGAGGTCACTGTCAGCACATGTGGGTCGAACAACCTGCAACCGATTCAGAAAGCCATCACGGCTGGGTTCTTCCCGAACGCAGCGCGTCTGCAACGCGGTGGTGATAGTTACCGGACGGTGAAGAATGGGCAAACAGTATACCTGCATCCGTCAAGCACGCTGTTCGAAGTCAATCCCCGGTGGGTAATCTATTTCGAACTCGTGCTGACGAGCAAAGAGTATATGAGGAGCAATATGCCACTCCAGGCTGAGTGGCTCGTGGAGGTTGCGCCACACTACTATAAGAAGAAGGACTTGGAGACATTGGGGCTCGAACGAAAAATGAAAGGACAAGGAGCGGCAGGTGAAAAGAGTCGAGACTAATCTATTTTTTTTCTTCTTCTTTTCCCTTTCTTCGCCTATATATGTAGGAGTGTATTATTGGCGTTTGTTGCTCTCATCAGCATGTTTAGACACCCAAAGCAAATACCACATGTATTTCTATTGACCATTGACGACTTGTCTTGATGGTATGATTGTTATTGAGTCCTCATGTATATGTTCTTTACATGATTAAACAATTTGGCAATATACCTCGGCTATTATCTATAGTCTCTCACCAGATATGTACAGCTCGAGTATGCACGACGACATTTATTATACTTTATTATAGCATTGGATAGAATACCTGTCCAATAACATAGTAATTTTCTGTAGTAGTATTCGTAGCAAGGTACGAGCGACCAATCACGGCACGGATATTTCAATTCTCAAGATGACTGACCGCGGCACGGAGATGGAAGGTTAACCTCGGCTCCTGCTCGACCGAGTTGACAGGCCATCCATCGTCATCTCTCCGCTTTCGACCCCGGATTTAATCATCAGCAGCAGCAGCAATCATCCGATTCAAAGGAACAACATATTTACCTCCGTACTTACAATACCATCACCACAACACTACTCAACCCAAAGACCAAAAGAAGTGCGCAAGGAACTTGAAAAAGAAAGAAAAGCAAAAATGTCCCAGACCTTCACGCCCGCCGACGTCGCTTCCCACAACAACGCCGACAAGGGCCTTTATATCATCATCGACAAGAATGTGTACGATGTGACCAAGTTCGTGGACGAGCACCCCGGCGGCGCGAAAATCCTGAAGCGTGTCGCAGGGAAAGATGCTAGCAAGCAGTTTTGGAAGGTATATTCTTTTTTTTTTTTTTTTTTTTTTTTTCGTTTTTTTTTTTTTTTTTTTTTTTTTTTTTTTTTGGTTCCCAGCCCCTACTAGTGTCATGTCGTCGTAAATTTGAATGATTTCCCCCCCCCTCTTTTCCGTATCCTTTTTTCCTCAATTCCCCTCCAGTCTACAAACGTTCGTCGGTGCTAACCATGGCCAGTATCACAACGAGGGAGTGCTGAAGAAGTATTCGCCAAAGCTGAAGATCGGGGAGGTGAAGGAGGCTGCAAAGCTGTGATGGAGAATGTTCGAGTATGTGTTGTCATATAGAAGGGGAAATGTGTGCCTTTCTCCTAACCTTTTCTACGTGGCCCGGTCGTCTAGTCCGGCGCGATTACGCTTTTAGCACTACATTGCACAATACTACCTTTTCATGTACGCATATGCCTGCGGAGTGTTGATTATCCTAGAATAAATGTCAATGATTTTTAGATGATTCCAACGCCCAGCTCCGAAACAATATCCCTCCCAAAACGATGTAGCCAAAGTGGTATCAATGTGCGAATATAAACGCTAGCGGGCACCTATGCAGATGCCCTGTGTCAAGACATACAGTTACTGATTCTCGAACCTGGTGATTCGTCCAGGGGTATGCATCACCCTGGAGGATAATACCACCCCCCATAACATTATAATTATAATGCGTTAGAACCCCCGGAATGGATCGTCATTGCGAAAAGATCCGTAATCGTCATACCTTGGGTGGTCAAGGTCATAAAATCGCTGGCTTTCTGGGCTCCAAGGAGTCGAAGGCTTCCGTGAATGCCTTGGATGTGGCGCATGGCATTGGTTAGATTCGGTCTGGTCAATGAACGCCTCCATGCGGACGGTGCCAATGGCATCGAAGTAATTACCAGTTCTCACGCTGGCCTCGGAGGTACGACCACTCATGATGCTCTGGCCACTGTTCGTAGCGGGCGGAGCATATGCTTCAAAAGCACCTTGTGTTGGAGGCATTAAGGGCACGGTGCCCTGATTGGAAAAGCTGCGGATCATGGGAATTCGGGGAGTCGTATTGCTGCGCTTGCGCGAATGGTTGGAGAACCGGGGGATCGTGGGTGGATCAGCGGCATCTGCCATATCCACCTCTGCTGGGAGCTCTGGAACCGGCTCAGGATGTTTGAAAGCTCGTTTCCCTCTCTGTCTTGGCTTTGGTCGGCCTTTGGCGATTCTTATAGAATCGCGGATCGGGTTGCGACGCAAAGTCGCCGTGGACGCGGAAGATGCAAACTCTTCCTGCGGTATAGGCGGCAGAGCTGCGAGGTCATGAAGGCCCATGGAGGAATGACTCAAAAATGAAAGCGCAGTTAACCAAACGTAATGCCGTTCGATGGTGGTGGCGGTGAATTTGAGGGCTCGTTCGGGTGTAAGGATGAGGATGGATCGGCTGAATTGATTTTGCGGGTCGAATCCCTTTGGTAAAGGGTTGTCGTCTTTAACGTCAAGGACAGACTGAATTGTCACTGCTCGTAGTTAGCGGCATCCATCACAAACTTATGAAGGGGAACCTACACTTCCTGCCGCTCTTGCCAAGTAACGCTGGTCCACTTGTTGGCTGCTTGCTACTCCACATAACCGCTCGCTCATACGGAGCCAGCCAAACCCATCTTTTGTGCCTTGATCCACTGTTGGCGATGTTCGCTGACACCTCTTCGGCATTCCGGCCTTCCCAGTTGTCCTTGGATTCACCAACTCCGCCGAAAGATCTCCTCCGACGAACGTACTTGAACATCCATTCCCCTACCATTGTTTGGGCAATAGCATCAACAACACTAGTTGGCTGGACCGATGTCGCCGTGGAATCATCCCGCTGGTGGGAAAACGCGCGTGTGGGGCGGCCGGTTTCATTATATCGCCCTTGATTTGCCCGCCTAACCCGCTGGGGAGTAGTTATATCGTTGAATGGGAGAGACGGATATTGAGGACTCTCCACCGCACAGGAAGATGTTGATATGGTAGGTGATGATCGGGTTACAGGCCGGGCAGGCTCTGCCTGAGACATTGCCGCTGCAGACCGCACTCGCCGCAAAGTAGGCTGCCGAGTGATCGATGGCCGTCTCTGGTCAGAAAAGTTCCGGGGGTTCGAAGGAGTGGGACTCTGCTGACCATCGCTGCCCTTAACTGGGAACTTCCGCGAACTGAGTCGTATGGGAACCGGAAATGGGGGAGCTATACTAGAACCACCACTGGCACTGTCGAGACTTGGCTCGCTGGGGCTCCGTATTCTCTGGTGTGCAGCTGCCCCGTTGGATATCATCGCCGCTCTGCGTATATCCTGCTGGCGTGTCCACGAGGGCACTACTCCTGTTCGTGGACTTATCCGAGAAGCTTTGCTTGGATTTTTCATCTCAAGGTCGGCCGTTGCATCAAATAAATGTGCCTCTGCATCCAGTATGTGTTGATCAATTTCTGTGGTGGTCTCGTCTAAGCTAGGACCACCCTGGGTGGAAACCAATTTGCCTCGTTTCAGAGTATATGAAGCGAACGGTCGGTTTAGTAGCTCATCATCTGTGAAAATATCTCCCATCCTGGGGGACGCTTCCTCATCACTTGGTTCGTCAAATCCGGCAAAGAGACTACTGGATCTCAGGGGCCGTCTTAAATCTGTCTTGGACTCATCAGCCAACGGACCGTTGTCGTTGTTGCCGGGATAAGCTTGCACGTGCTCGTGGGGTTTGTTTCGTGCGGGTGCCTTGGCTGGGATAGGAGGTGGTGGTGGTATCTCTTCTTTCCTCGTTCTTGGAGGTGGGGCGTGATACGGCTGGATCGGAGGATCCTGGAGATTGGTACGAAGGGGTAAATCTGGGATGGCAGACGGTAGCAAACTCGCAGGCAATTTGACAGGTCGCTGATCAATCCGAATTTCCTCTGTCTGTATGCCAACTGTTCGGCTGTCGGTAACAGTCTTTAAGTCTGTTTGGCAAGAAGCACTCTTAGTTTGTGGTGGCAGAACCACACTCCCTCGAGGCGAAGAAGGCTCAGAGCAGGGTGGGTGAATCGCAATCATTGGGACCTCAATATCTGAGGAACTAGGACTGTTATGGGTAATATTGGCACGTTGCTCATGTGTTTCAGGAGCAATAGGTTGTTCTGTCTGGATTGATGCAGAGACCATGGCGGCCTGGCCAGGAGTATTCGATGGCGGTGATGATTCACCAAGCTTAGGAGTCCAAGGTGGAGTGGGTAGATCATCGACAGTCTGAGAAGATGTCGATACCATATTTACTGGGGCCATCCACGTGCTGCTGTCTTTCGTCTGGTACGAACCCGGGCCGTCACGGCCTCCAGTATCTTCGTCGCAGGCCACGGGTCCAATCTCTGGTTGCAACTTCGGGGACGGAGGCGGGGAATATTGGATTCCAACATCTTGATAGCAATAGCTCGCTGTCGTTGTTTCCGTTGGGGGTGGCTTCCAGGGACTACTAGGCTCCGACTTGAATCCACAGCTTTCTACACTATGGAGAGAGAGGCCCAGGATCTTCCTCGCCTTTGCTCCCATCTCCATTGTGTGGGACAGTTGTGAGTGGACTGACGTTGGGCGTTCTTCCGGGAGGGCCTCAGGTGAATAAGGTGTAAAATAATCGTCACGCAGATCAAACTCATCTTCCTCGTCGAATGCCAGTTCTTGCGCAAGGTTTATACCGTCATGTTTCGCACCTGGTATATTGACAACACTTGCCACAGAATACCGAAGATCATGGAGATCACCCCCGTCAGTGCTTACGCTTGTGACACTCGTACGCCGTCTCCCTTGACTGCTCGAGTGGGCGCTCGCAGTATCACTGTCCTTCCCCGTGGCTTCGTCCTTGACCAAACCAGCCCCATCAGGGTTCCGCATCTGATGGAAATTGCCAGCTGCTTGGACCGCTGCCACTTCGGTCAAGACCACCTTGAGACGCCCCTCAACAACATGAATCTTGCGTTCCAGGTTCCTACGCTCACCGTCCCAGAGTTCCTTATCGCGGTCCCAAAGCTCCAATGTCTTATCGATCTCGTCTTCCCGACTGCGGGCTTTCTTTTGTGCCTGGTCCAGTTTCTTTCGAACATCTGAGATGTTCTCTAGCGCTTCATCTCTCTCCCTTGCGAGCTCCGTAAGAGCTGAGGAGGTACCCCCTTCCACAAGCTGTAGCTGATGTTTGAGAGACCGCGTCTCCTTGATACTCTGTGATAAACGTTCACTGATATCCTCGGTCTCTATGCGCGATTCATCCAGAGTTCGCTCCAGGACATCAATGGCTTTTGTTTTACTCTCCACATCCCGCCGTAAAGACAAAATCTCCGAAACAAGTGAAGCATGTAGTGTTGGGGTAAACCTCCTGGGATCTAGCGGCGATAAGGTGTCCTCGTACGTGGCATCTTGGAAGTCACGGCGCCCATCGAGGAAGAAACTCTGGTTTGATGGACATGGTGGCGACGATGATGGGCCAGGAGAGGAATCTCCACGGGAATGCATAGACGGACCTCTTCGAGGCGTGGCAGAGGGTGTGGGGAACACCTCTGCAGGGGAAACCTGGGAGACTGTCTCTGTTGCCATCGCTTGATAACAGAAGATCAAGACCTCAAAACAACCGCAGATTTGAGAGGCTTATTGGAGTATAACAGCAACCGGGCTCGCACACCTTATACCATTGAAGAGCTGCGCTATGCGGGGTCCATCTGACCTTCCGGACGCTGCAGGTGGGCAGGAAACAAGATGACAGGCGATATAGATGCTGACCGGCAACTATAGTTGCTGATGAGGTCTTCAGCAGGAGATTTCTGGTTCACCGCAATGAGCTGCGTCAGCTATCTGCACGCATGACTCGAGATAGGCGTGGTTGGGAGGAAAGGCGCACAGGCAGTAGACTCTCCACCTACACTTAGATCTAGTTGCTACCCTTCCTCAATCACAGAGAGGGCTTTGTACGGTCTTTCAGGCTCCGCCTGGGGTCAGGGACGACGTCAAAAGAAAAAAAAAAAAAATAACGGCACAAAGTAGGAAAGGCAAAGACAGCTGGGATACCCTGAGAGCTTGGCTTTCCTTAGCCACCCAGTAAAGGGGGAGAGGTACGAGAGAATTGAATTGGCTCGTCGACGCGGGGAGGTGGAGGAGAGAAGATCGTAGATCGCGTTTAGGGATAGTAAAAAGATAGGCGGAGTCAGCGAGCAAGACTGTCACCCACCACAGGTCTCATCGATCCTCAAAAAGATCTGAGGAGGAAGGGGACACGGTCTACATTGTATGAGAGAAGACCCGTTAGGTCAAGGACGATCAAGAGCTAATGAGCCTTGCGGGCCGCGACCTCAGAACTTGTCCGAGCATCGGGATGTGCACGACGTGAGGACAAGCCGTGGCTAAGTTGCTAAAGCATTAGCTCTTCCAGGGGCGTTCGTTAGGGGGGATGGGGAACTGAGTCTACGCTCCCGATTAGTGAGGAGGATCAAAAGAACGTCTCCACTTAAGCTGCCAGTGATAGCAAGTATGTGGACTATTAGTAGAGTACGGAGTATTAGTAGTACAAAACATAACTCCCGCGCATGGAAAAGCGGGATGATAGAAGAAGACGAATCAGAGTGTGTGTGATCGATTGTGGATGTGAGAGTGATAGTACTACTCGTAATTCCTGTAGCATCGTATTCAAGCAAAGATTGGACAGGCCAATCGTCCTCCTGGGCCAAAAGGAAAAGAGGGAGGGCAGAAAAATGTGAAACAAGGTAGAAGTCATCCGCCAGGCTGGCCAGCTTTTGGTGGTTAGGAGAGGAGAAAAA